CCTCAGATCCTTAACACTTCCCGTTTCCCCATCCTCAATCCCTAACACTTCCCGTTTCCCCCATCCTCAGAGCGCGCCTAACACTCCCTGTTTGTGTCCCCGATCCTCACGATCCTACACTTCCCGTTTCGCCGCCATCCTCAGATCCCTAGACACTTCCCGTTTCCCCATCCCTCAGGATCCCTAAAGCATCTTTCCCGTTTCCCCATGCCTCAGATCCCTAACACTTCCCGTTCCCCATCCTAGATCCCGTGAACACTTCCCGTTTTCCCCCATTCCTCAGATCCCTAACACTTCCCGTTTCCCCATCCTCAGATCCCTAACACTTCCCGTTTCCCCATCCTCAGATCCCTAACACTTCATACACTTAGACACTCACCAGTTTTTCACTCTGCTCAACCATGACTCTCTGTCCTTGGCTGTTCTTACACCAAATAGGCACGTGATCAATGGTCAGCTCTTCGTCAGCGGAGGCAAAGAAGTTCTCCAGAGTCTTACACACGAGCTTGGCTCTTATGAATCCACCCTTCCCTTCAGCAAGGACGGAGTTGACCATGAAAGGTGTTAACTTGAAGAGATTCAACTTCTTCTTCGACTGGTACCTGCAATACCCATCCCCAATGAACAGCACGTGGCTTTCCTGGCTCGGTGCTATTTAACATCTCCTCCACTTTAATGTCACCAGGAGGTAGCTTCAAGTGCCACGCGCAGGCGAGACCAAATGCTTTAAAGCAAGAAAGTTCTGCATGGTCCTTTTCTGACTGGAAACCGCTTTCAGGACTCCCATGTACCAACCCAGAAGACGAACCAGCTTACAGCAGACATTGCTATTCCACTATGAAGCTGGGCTCCAGGAGGTCCCCAGAGGGACACTCGGAGTTCCCTGATGCCTCTACATCCAGGAGACCTGAGGCAAGTGTGCCTCGGACAAGTCTTCCTCACTCCCTTCCAAGGAAAGCCTACAACTGATCAGGATTTGTGAGACTGAACTTTAAGCGAGTCATTCTGACTTTCTGTGCCTCAGTTCCATGACAACACCCCTCTCGGCAAGACGGCATTATATGTAAACAATATGTTGCTACAGGATAAAAGTACAAAAGACTAAACCTATGTTTTTATTTCCTGCCTGTAAGTGGAGATAACAGCGCTACACTTCTCAGGGTCACTGTGGTGTAAGTTCACATGTAATCGTCAGGGGAAAACAGTAAGACGCGGCTGTGCCGGCAGCAACAGCGCCACTAGTGACAGCAGTACTCACTTCCGCCCTATGTGCCCGTAGGCCATGGAATGGAAGGTTTTGCAGATGACGTTGCTGGGGAAGACGCGTTCGGCCTGCTTTGCGATGCTCTTGTTGAACGTCACATACAGAAACCTGCTCTGAGACCACTTCTCTGC